CAAATACCTATGCAAGTTGTGATATGATAAATATTCATGGACACTTGACATGCTTTCACAGATGAAGAACTTATCGCCCTAACAGAACCACTGAGCTGCACATGCGACACGCAATAGCGCCATACATGTGGGAGGGGTTCATTGTCAAATTTGACACTTCAAGGAAGGGTTGATGAAAACTGCCGCTTGCTGGTTTATCCTATCCACGTTTGCTTTCCTATCGGTTCTTGCATAAGAATTACCGTTTAGCGTATCGTTGCTTTAGTGTATTACATTTAATTTGATTGGGAGACGTGTTCGTCGACGTCAATGTCAACCGACAACACTGCAAGAATTGGCCATGGCACTGCAAGAGGAGTGGGTCAGATTGCCCCAAATCGTGATTGGGCGGTTGATTTGGAGCATGCCACGACGAATTGCTGAATGTCTGAGGATTGGTGGAGCAATTACTCATTATTAATACAAAAATCAAAAACATCTGTTTTCACTTTTGACAGTGTATCTCTTTGCGACTGAAATGGGGCCGTCAGATAAGCCACCCATATGAACTGTTTATGTTCATGTGTAGGCAATTGGCCTGTTATTAACATACACTGGTTAACTCTAATAAAAACAGCAGTACATTTCTGAAGTTTTGTATTGTTTCTGAATATCCCCTACTTTTTATGAAGAGTATAATATCATCTAAACCTTGCCAGAGAAAAACAAAATAACATTTTACATCTTAACACTGCAGCACCGTTATCAAAGGTGGGCTTGGTATGATGAATCCTGAAAATTCTTCTCTTCCCAAATTGGGACTCAAACCAGCCACTTGTGTACATTTAGCATGTATGTATCAAATAAAACCTTTTCCAAGTCTGTTGGATATTGATCTATGTACAACCTCTATGTACAACCTCTTTGCCAAATCATTCACATACTTTCCAAATGCCAAAACAATGCATTATTTTAATGTAAAGACTGTTGTTATCATTATATAACTGAGCATGAAGAATGGGCTGGCTTGTACAAGCATTATTGTTACCGATCACAAATGATCAAATGAATATATTTTGGAAAAAAATATTGGTAATAAAAGTAGTTTTGATTGCATATCGTTTTAACATCAATATTTCTTTATTATGGAATATTGAGCTTTAAAATTATCAGACTTAGTTACAGAAATTTGATTAATCATTGTACTTCTCTCTATCGCACTGAACACTTAGTGAAAATTAGAGACCAAATTCAAACAAGTGTCTTCAAGACTAATATTAGATTCCAATCTATAGTACCAAGAATCTCACAAGCATTATCAATATTCATATACTTCCCAAAAAACAGTAAAAGTCACTATAATCCTCCCTTCCCTCCCAAATCAAATTTAAAGACCTTCCCACATATGTCCACATTCATATACCTTTCCTTTATCAAGAACTACAAGAAGATAATGTATTAAAGAATTGTTACAATCCCAAGGTTGTAAATAAACTATCTACCTATTATGTATGTCAATTATTTAAGGACAGTCCACTTGACTAACTTCGTCTACACATACATGTACTCCAACTTATATTACAACTCGAGATAATCAAATGTCAACAAAAACGCAAGTCAGATCAATTAAGCCAAAAATGAGGTCTTCACTGACTTTCCGTACAAGCTGTCTGTCTTAGAAGAAGTTACAAACACATAGAACAAATATTATAAAAACGCCTGAACAAATGACAAGTATTTAGACTGTTAACAGTCACAGTAAATGTCAATATAGAGACCTCTAAGATACAACTATTAACAAATATTACTAATCTTACAAACTTTTACTACTGTAAATAACTGATATTCAGAGTTTTAAAACTATCAGTCGTATAATAACTTTATCATTCGCTCTATCTCTTGGCAACCAGATTAATATAAAACGGTCAAAAGATTTAAAGTCAACAATCCTGATCACACATTTTTTAGATTATATCTTATTTTTCATAGCTTATTCCACATTAAAATATACTCAAATTGATTATTTAACATTTAATTAATGATGTATTTTGTAAGAATTAAATAAAGAGCTGGCCGTTCTTGCTATAATAGTTCAAAAATAGATAATGCAAAATGAATATATTGAACATTTCAGTTGAATTATTTTATTCTGTGCAAAGTTATGTAGTTTGGATAAAATGTAGAATAGATTGTTTATTATCCTAGCAATGGTACCAGACAATCGAGACTAAGTCTTGACTCTCTATTTTATTATTAAAAATGGGAGCGATGTTCTAATCTACTTAAAATCGAGGACATTCGATGACCAAGAGAGTTTATTATGGGCTTGTCATGTTAATAAATTCTCAAATAATAATTTATATAACATTTAAAGCCAGAAAAAAAGACTTGCAACAGACAGATTTAGCTTTTACATGATGTATGTTTAAGGAAGTCAAAATATCAATTTCTTTCAAAGATACAGCTTTCCCACTATCGTAGTTTGCAAGGGATTGCAAATCCCTGCAATAATGATCACCATTGACAAGTTCATTCTTTTAAAGGGGCATTATGAAAGATTAGATAAAGAGCTGGCAGTTCTCACTATAATGGAGTTAAAAACTAGATAATGTAAAGGGAATATGCTGAAAATTTCAGTCAAATTGCTCCACTCTGAACCAAGATATTAGCGTTTAATTTTACACCTAGACATGATCATCATTAATAAAGTCTGGTAACATATCACAGATGAAAGTTAGTCATAAGCGCAACTTGAAAAATAACTGGGAGTGTTGCAAATATGAAAGCCTAGCTTTATCAGTGGAAACTGTCATAACGTTATAAAAATTGTTGAGTGTCGTGATCTCTAATATCTTATAATAGCACGTAATCGTAATCTTACATAAGATGTAAGTTTAAATCTTGAGCATTTTAAAACCTCTATTTTGGAGAATGATAATACTGATTATTAATCTCACCAGATCAAAATCCAAACAAAATATATTTCAAGACACGGAGATACATATAAACACATATTCTTTGGGATTTTAAAACTCAAAGAAACACCATGACCTATGTATTAAATAAAACAAGGTCAAACATATATTGCACTTGTCCCATCAGAGAAGTTATATCCATTGTTATAATGTTACATAACATTACATCAATATTGCAAGGAATAGCAGTATACCTGTTATTATCTGACCTCTGGGCAATTGACCACTGACCACAATAGATCATAACAATAATACCTGGTCATTTATAGCCATATTTATTTATACTGTACCTGAAAGCTGTTTAAAGCCGGTATAGTATGGTATTATTTATTGAAGGGGGGCAAAGAAATCTTTTGATATCCTGTTCTTAGCTATTGTCAATATTTGTTGAAGAAAAGAAGTCAAAACTTAGGTTTTGTATTAGGAACTTTGAATCAGATTGATATCTATTGAATTTGTGCTAGAATTCATTTAAGAGAGAGAGAGAGAGAGATAGATAGAAATGGGGTTTATATAATAACAGGATTCTATAGGCTAAACTCCAAACAATAAAGTCTGCTCAAAGTGCACAAAAAGTCAATTCTAAGTTACTTTAAAGGTTGTTTTTCATTTTTTTTGGTATTTATTTTTAATATTTAGAAAACAGGAATGTCTTTAATTTAGACTTAAATATAGAGAATGTTGGAGCAGATTTTAAAGCTAATAAGAGGGCATTCCACTTCAAAGCCGCTGAAACTTCAAATGATTTAAAACCAAATTTTTTCAGTTTCCTCGATGATACTGTAATATAATGTTGAGATTGGGATTGCAGAGCTCGTATTGACTGGTAGGGATTTACAAAATCCTTTAAATATGAAGGAGCATTGCTATGAAGGCACTGATACACAACTGTTAAAATTCTGAAATCCATCCTTTCACTTATGCGCAGCCAGTGCAGAGAATTTAGTACTGGAGATATACTAGAACATTTTGGTGATTAGGAAACTAATCTGGCTGCAGCATTTTGTATCTTCTGTAGTGTTTTTAATAATTCAGATGAAATGCCAGTAAGAAGACTGTTACAGTAATCTAATTTTGATGAAATTAATGATCGTACAAGGGTTGCTTTGGATTCTGTCCTTAACATATGACAGATGCTGCTGATGTTCCTAAGATGGTAGTAACATATCTTAAAGTTAGATGGTTTACAATACTGGACATACTATTGTTAAGAGTCGAAATACACACCGAGATTTTTTACTTTATCACAGAACGCAAAGAACAAAATTAACACTTGAACATAAAAAGCATCAATAATAATTGTCTTTGATTAAAATTTATTGTCATTAAATATGATATATATATATATTTTTTTTTATAGATTTTTTAATCAAATATCTTTTTTTTTTATTTCTTTTGGTTTTTAATTGTTAAAATTTCATGTATAAATATTTGGTAAAAAAAAAGAAAAAGGGGAGAGTCTGTGATTCACTATTAGACTACCATTATATTTCTCAATGAATAATGAGATATTACAGAACAGGCACCCACATGAAAATTTTCACAATGGAATATGTTGATGTGTAGGTTTTTACCAAAAATGGGCCAATGAGTTGATAAAATAGACATTTTTCGACTATCATCTGATGAAATTAAAAAAACAACAACAACACATTTTCTGTATCTAAAATCTGTATATCTGAATTCAAATAACATTTTAAATATCAATTCTAACATATCCTTACAGATTTAAAAGAGTTAGTATGTTTATTTTCTTTTTATTCAATTCAATTACAAAATCCTGTGGTTATTCGTTTACATTCTCTTTATTCAATAATAAAGACATCAACCTATCAATCTTAAGTCTGTATTATGTCACACCTATACTTAACGACAAACTATTGTCATTTATACAGGTAAACTGAGCAGAAATGAAATGTTTATGACGATATACACTAAATATAGATTTGTCAAAGTAGGACAGTTGTTGAAGCATATCTGTCCTGTGAATGGCTGATCGTGTTTGTTTCCGGTGTGCCAGGTATGTTCAGGCGAGGCCAAGCCAATGACTCATTTCACCAGGTGAAACAAACTAGATGACAATCACAATTGGTGTATAAGTTATTACTTATACCTTTTATATTAATATCTCTTGTCTTCCAATATATGCATACTAATGGAATTAACAAACCTTGTGTTATTAATGCATACTGTGGGATATTATGATAAACAATAACATATTGTCATTAGATGTAGTCTATTTATAGTAACATTCAGGTAAGTCAACCTTGTACTTGTAATCTTGTAGTTGGAATATTTTCAATATTTATTCATTAATGATGCAACTTAACCTTATAACTACTATAACAGATACCTTGTTTATCTTTAAGAACTGTCCAAAACTTTCTTTTTATTAAATACTTGGCTAATACTTTATAAGCTATTAATCATATCATCTATTTATCAAACGATATCAGAGCCCTGATAATATTTGGCGCAAATTTGTAACTTGTGGTTAATAAAATTATAATTATTATTTATCATGTTTTTGTAATTAAGTGAGAACACAAGGTTAATTAGTGAGGTTAATTATATATGTATACTTATATTTCTATACCTATTGTTTATACATGATATACAACCTGTCATATATGTCTTGTTAAAGATAAAACAAAAAGATCATTCACATATAAAAAATAAAATAATATAGGGTTCTACTATTTTTGCACTGACTGGATTAATAAAGATGGGCAGACAGATATCATTCAATGTGCTATGATGGCCCACTCTTACTTCGATCTCCAACAATCAAGGGTTCTTTTACGTGCACGCCAATGTGCTTCGTCAAATCTGAACAACTAGACACTGTCCTTGCCAGACCCTTGATTTTTATCGACTTGAATATCTTTTGGACCGTACTGTAAAATAGTTTTGGATGTGTATGGTTTTAAACCATATATTTAAACTTTATTCTGGCATGTTGGGGCTTTAATCTAAAATTTGTCACATTAATTTTGCAGTTTAAATAAATTTTTAAAAAAGCCTGAATATTAATCTTTTAGAGAAAAACAGATCAAATAACCCAATATTTATACAGGTGACTAATAAAATAACGTAAAGAGAGAGATAAGATAAAAAAAACCTTTTTGTGTACATATACCTTCAACAAGGTCAAGAAATTCAAAAATATAAAATGATGTGATAACTGATGGAGAATTTGAGTCATAATACTTGAATATTGATAACAAAAATCTAAGTACCTACACATGATATATTATAAATCTAGTTGTCAACTATATCAAGAACCTAATTATATAAAGATAACAATATTATCTAGGTCAATATAGGTAGTTAGTTTACCTGTAGTTCTAATGGTTTACTTATAAACACATATATCACTTTTCATACTACAGACATTTATACAAATATAAAAGAAATCGTGGAGTAGTGATGAAGGTGAACAAATTAGGACATTTTGGGGATAATTGATGAACAATTAACCTGTAAGGTCAAGGGGTTAATGATAGGTATTGTTGATGACATTTAGTAAAAGGTGGTATACGTGTAATTACATATATAAAGTATGTCTGTTAAAACTAACATAATACCTACACAGGTAGACTGACTAGTCATTTCTAACCATATTCTCTTAAGTTAAAAACACCTTTCTTTAGACATGTAGCCTACATTCAGCGATACCTTTAGGCTTTATGTTAGTCATGTGCATCAGTAGGCTTGACAAGTTGAAGTTTGAAGTTATTTTAATTGTGAAAGTTTTCATTTTAAAAGCAAGGTTATTTCTGCTTATATTTGTATCTTTAATTATGAATAAATATTGTGATATAAATTAAAGATGCATTACGTATGATTTAGATAAAATTTCAGTCGAAGTGTTCAAAGTTTTGGCAATATAGTCTTAATTATCAAGTACAATTGCTATGATAATAAACAAAGTCTTGACTATCCATTTTTAAGTTAAATCATTAAATGGTGATTGTGTATTAATTCATTCAAAATGGTCTGGAGAGTTGATTATGGGCTTATCATACAAATTGAGCAGTTTACTGGATAATAGGCGCTATGTAAATACATTATTATGATCGTTATTATTATTAATAATTTATATAACATTTGAAGCCAAAAGAAAGACCTGCAATAGGCAGACTTAGCTCTTACATAATGCATCTTAAAAATAAAAAAGTAAAACACATATTTAAAACTTTGAGGTCGGTAATTCAACTACAACAAAACAAAATTCTGAAATTTTTTAAAGAGATTTATTTAAAACTATCTAAATTACGATGTTGAAATGAAGTCTTTATATTCCATAGGAAGCAAACCATGGTTTTAAAAGGAATGTTGACAGGGATAATGCGTTTCATTTAAATATCAAACAATCTGAAATGCTTCAGCGATTTTGATGTTAATCATCTGAAAAAGCCTCCTCACCCCTTCTGAGATGAAATGAATACAAACAGGGCTAATGAAGACAGACATACGCCATGTTGTGTGCATTGAGGGAAATTTTGCCGGGACAGTGTGTTTCCATCTATTCTTCATCAAATTCCAACTGCCATTGAAGGCCATTTTACATGTGCAACAATGGGAACACAGGATCTTGTTCTGGTACCACTGACAAAGGGAAACACGACTGAAAAATCGTGACAAACATCGGAATTGAATCTTGAATCTCCTGGCTATAGGGAGTCAGTGCCTTATTAAATGAGTCACTGTGACTGTCAAGTATGGCATAGGAAGTGACATAAGGGGTTCCAGATAAAGATAGTAAGAATATCCACCATCTTACATGACACTAATTATTACTAGCTATATATTTTGATCTATTCTTACACCATAGTTTGAAACAAGTTCTGTTTGTTCTTTCAGGAATCCATGAAAGATGATGCCGTCTGCATATATTGTATTGTGTGTCTTGATATCGTCATCATTAATAGATGCTAAACCAGCGGACTGTGATACCCTTCAAAATGTGGTGCCGTCTTGCGACTGTCAAGGTGCTACAGACAATGAAAATAATATTGTGATACGTTGTCAAAATCTTGTAAATGTACCACAAATAAATGGTAACTACAGTGGATTAATACATGAATTCTCGTTAAAAGATAACAATAATATCAGGACTCTACCAGAAAATGCATTTCATGGATTAAGAATTCAAATCCTAAACCTGTATGGAACTCGTTTGAATAACATCTCTAATGGAGCATTTGAAGGTCTGCAGAATGATTTACAAGAACTAAGTATTAGTGGTGATGATGCCAGTGATGTCCTTCCACCGTTTGTGGCCATTCAACCACTGAAAAACCTCACAAGACTTCATATCCATCGGTTTAAACCAAATAACAATGATATAGAAGGAACTCATTTGTTCTCCTTCCAGAAATTACAACAACTCACTTTAGAGAGTATGAAAATAAAATCCATGGGATCGGATGTATTTTATTTGCCTCAGCTGACAACATTGCGTTTAGTTGATAATTTGTTTACCACTTTTCCATCAGATGCAATTCATACCCTGACAAACTTACAATATCTGACAGTTACTGATAACACAATCAGCGCCATACCTTCGTATTTCTTTGAGAGAATTAGAAATATCAAGTACTTTGACGTCAGTCGTAATAATATCTCTCTTTTAGAAGATGATTGTTTCATTTATGTGACAAGCACTCTGCAGACGTTGATCCTGAATCAAAACCCACTTTCGACAGCCTCAAAACTTAGCCGTGTATCAGACATAAATTCTTTATTGGAGTTACGCATTCAACATGTCGGGCTGAAAGAAATCCCATCAAATCCCGAGTTTCTGCGAAATAAAAATCAGCTGAAATATTTATATCTGAATGGAAATCAAATACTACGGTTAAACGGGAATGAATTTGTATCTGTAGCCAACAATCTTGTCCAATTAGATCTGTCTGGGAATCAGATCTCAAGCATAGAATCTAATACCTTTTTTGGCATGTCAAAACTGACCAACCTTCAGCTTGAGGACCAGACCGCTGCTGGAAAATTAATACTTCCCTCATTTTCGTCACTGAAATCGTTACAAAAACTAGACCTTCAGTCAACAAAACTTGACACTAACACGGCATGGGAGCAGATTAGACATCTCACAAATTTACAATCCTTAAATCTGGACAGTACAGGATTGAACAATATTGCCGATTTGGTGTTTCGTGACATCACCAACTTATCATTATTGAGCTTATCACAGAACAATATAACAAATGTGACGCAAGAAATGTTTGTAGGACTTCGTGACAGTTTGAACATACTTTATTTAGATGGCAATAAAATCCAAACTATACATTCGTGTACTTTTGACAATTTCTCAAGAAAGATAACTCTATCCTTAAGTAACAATCCACTTCATTGTGACTGCCATTTAAAATGGTTAAAAGACAAAATAACCAATCAAAATATCAGTTTTGTATCACAATCAGAAAAATGCAGTAGTCCATCCAGAAATGCAAACAAAGATTTCACAAGTGTTCCTGAAACAGACTTTGTGTGCATCTTTCACACAACTGAACCAATATGTCCAAATTATTACTTGTCTACTACAAGTGGTGCTCCACCAGTCACTACAGAACCACCAGTAGGTAATTCCACATTACCAGTCGTTGTCATTTCTCTTTCACTCCTTGAGGCCACTTTAACTAACATTAAAATTCAATATGGTGTGTCGAATCTTGAAAATGTTAACTCAATTGCAGTTCGCTACACAAACATTAAAACACAAGATATGAGGCGAGAACCTTTATCTCAAACTGAAACGATGAAAACCATTTATGGTCTTGATATGGACACAAGATACGAAATCTGTATTTCAGTGGAAACAACTCAGAACCATATTGTTGAAGAATGCAAGATTTACAGTACGAAGAAAGATCCACTAGCAACAACAGTTGACCCCATGCCGTCCAAACAAGATGGAAATGATACAGGAGTAATCATTGGTGCAGTTATAGGTGGTATTGTTCTCGTCTGCTTATTGGTGGCCATCTTGTATTTAGTGTTTGTGAAAAGTTCAAATAAGAATAAGAAGATTCCCTCAGAACATGTAGTCCCAACCAGAGCATCTGTACCTAGAATAGGCTATGATTCTAAACGCTTCATGAAAAAGAAGAAAGCCAATGGGAACAACAACACCCAATCACCTGATGATATTCAGGTGTCTGTCGTAACAGACGGTCAAGGCAATCCACCTAATCTAGGTAGGATATCAGCCGGTAGTTACCAATATTTGGACAAGAACCAACCATCAAAAGTGAATACCAAACCTTCCGGGGATTATATGAATGGTAATGAAACTCGTCCGTTACCAACAACACCACATAAAAACCACAGTTACCAGAACGAAGCCTTCCAAAGAAGTCCTTCTGAGAGCTATAATACATATTCTGAAATCGATGTGTGATAACTGGATTAACATGTCATCAAATATATTTTTCGTACTTCAGAATCAGAATTTATCTGTTGCAAGAAGTTAATGCCTCGGACATACAGGATGACTGAAGTTTTTAAACTGTCAATATCATTGTGATAAAAAATAATAAGTTTCAACAAAAAAAACAACCCCAGCTCTGTGTGTGCATACAAATGACTAGAAACAATTTTGGTCTTCGTCAATCACAAGTATTGATTGCGGCCATTTAGAGCACATATGTTCACATCATAATATGTCATAAATTTGGCAATTGGGAAGAACTTCTTGCTCTGTTCGGTTGATGATGGTGCTGTTTTTTGGGGGGTGTTTTAAAGACTATGATCATCCTGTGTGGATAAGTTTAACGTACTATTTTCTGTATACTGTGTATTTGACTACCAAATATTAACGTCCATTCCATTTAAAAAATTATATATTAAGGCACAGGTGACTTAAACTAACTTAAAGATATATTATGTAAGATTTAGATAAAGAGCTGGCTGCTCTTGCTATACTAGTTCAAAAATAGATAATGGAAAATACATTGAAAATTTCATTCCAATTACTTTATTCTGAGCGAAGATGGTTTGACAAGATGAGTGCACTGATTGTAACCACCGTACTGGTTGTTTGAAGCTTAGCCTTGCTTTACCATTTTTTAGATTAAATCAATAAATGGCTCAACTATTCAAATCTACTAAATATTGGAGCCATCGAATGGTATTCAGAGTTGACTATGGTATTGTCATGTTAATAAATGTCTAATTAATAGTTTATATAACATTTAAGGCCTAAAGAAAGACCGGCAAATAGGAAAATTTAGCTCTTGCATATTGTATGTTTAATTAAATCATTACCAATGTGAACTTCTGAAAATTGCAAGTGTTATCAGGTGTTCAAGAAACCACTGACATCCCACCTGTAATTATGCAATATATACATAAACTGTGATGGAATAATGACAGTGTCTAAAGTGTATAAAAGAAAGTAATTATATTTATACATAATTATAAACTGTGATGGAATAATGTATGTATATAAAAATATCTGATTCACTGTATGGCCAGAATAATTTTATGAACCAATCCTATGACACATTGTGTGGATATATTGTGATTTGTGTTGTATACAAGAATGAACCAATATATGAGTGGACAGAGATAAGAGTATAAATTAAAGGATAAAACTAATTATAACTGTTTTGTGTGAATGAATTAAGGAATGACTGGACTGACAAAAATGATTTTGTGTGAATGAGTTATGGAGTGATTGGTCTTAATGGATCTGAGTAAATGATTCATTGTGAACAAAATGTTAGCTATATTAAAATGACTGGAAGATAAATATTGTAAGACAAGAAATAAATGTGATCAAAATATTTGACTTATCGTCTGTCACATTAATTTCTATGTACATGTCTGTTCTTTAAAACTATAAAATATAGTCAAGGAGTAGTGAGGAGTTACCCCTGTAAGTCTTTAAAATCATCAAACATAACATTTCTCAATACAAAACAATAATTAATGAGATAAGCCAATATGTTAATTGTGTCTTATTTCTTTGTCTAGCTCAATCAAGAAGTCATTCAGTCAGCATTTAAGAGACAGTGGTTTGCATTAATTTTAATACACATTAATGATATAGCAAATTTTTACCTCAAGAAAGATAAATTCTTTTGACCTAATTCATCAAAATGTTTTGTGAAATGTTAGACACTAGAATTATATGTAACATTTAAGTCATTTACACTGAAATGGTAATACTGCATTTAAGTCATTTACACTGAAATGGTAATACTGCTTCCAGTAAATATGAACTCATATCTTTAGCAATTTTCCATTTACTCAATTTGAAGGTATTATGATTGTTAGTAAATATTTTAGAATTACTGAATTTAGTAGCCCATCATAATCTATAATATTAGTTTCTATCTTCTTCTGCAATTGATACTAAAATTTAATTAAAGTAAAGTAAAGAGAGTGTAATCCGGTCTTGAACTCATTAGAAGATCTGACTACATGTTACATGAATGTACTGTTATATAATTATTTCTTTAAACTTAACATATGTTAGTTACCTTATTGGCACACATGATTATGTTGTCAACATTCGGCATGTGTCTTTATTAATATAATCAAAATTAGATTACGATTGTTTTGGTCATTTTTCTGACTGTCATACTATATTGTAATCAGCCAACGACATGTTCAGTCAGATTGTGTGCCATTTACCTCAGCCAAATATGTGTAATCACATGTAATCACTACAAAATCTAAGATCTGTTCGACTGGTGAAAATAGCCATTTATCTACTGTATGTATTAAGTATGCGAGTTGTAATTTTTTTCTATAAAACATATTTTTTCATATTTTGTAAAGTGCTATTAATAGAAATTATTGTTGTTTTATTAATATTATTATAGATATTTAACCCACCTATTACACATATTATATATATATATATATTTATATATCAAAGCTATTGAGTATATTTTTAACATTTAATTATATATTTAAATAAATAGTTGTTGTCAATCAATAAACCTTTTAAAACTACACAGAGATTAAATAAAAAATACCACTACATTATAAATTCAATTTAATAAAAAAAAATAATTCATCTATGTATATAAAAATCATTAGACAATATCATTTTAATCACAACATTTCCTTTCTTGAAAATATCTAATGCATGTATATATTGTATAGAGCACGTATTGAAGTTTGTTTAATAATCATAGTATCATACTAAATGGATTAATTTCAAAACATTCCATGAGAATAGATCAGTTATTTTCATCATTCATACAAATATATTCACATTAAGTTCATTAACTTATTCATTCATCTGTATTCATGACCCATAATGTTAACAATAGTTTATGTACTGTATTTCTTATCCCAATTGCCTTGCTATCTTACTACAGGTTGATCATAACAATCATCGTGTGTCCATAAAACCCATTCTCAGTGATACTCATTTAAAATTAAGTATCACTGCAGTGATACTTAGTAAATATTTAGTCTCAGTGTTACTCGCTTAATATTTAGACAAATGGTCAGTTACCAACAAAGTGTCACTCATTAAAAATTTGGTCTGAGTGTTTGTCGCTAAATTTTTAGTCTTGGTTACTGTTACAGATAGTCAGTTGATCTTCAACTTGTTTGGGCATTAAAAAAACCAAACAAATTGTGTCAAATCTATTTAATATTATAAGTGAAGACAGTTTGAGACTAACTTCCATTGTAAAATGTTAATTACTAAAACTATGTCATAAGTAATCTCATTAATTCTGAATTTCATTCACTGTTTTTATTACTATTCTGTCACATCCTTGAACAAAAACAATGTGAGTATTACTTTGCACTAATACAACTGTTATGATTGTTACTATCACTCAATGTACAGTTTATTACACTTCAGTACATGTACAGACGTTACTCACATGAATATGAACAAGACAGATCAAGAAATAAGACTTAAACCTGTAGATCATGTTACAGTCAATGAACTCCCATTACTGTACAATATGATACTTATTTTTTTATACATTCCAAAATTCATCATTCATATAGGAAATGAATCACATTTATCTAACGAGAAGAACAGAGCCATACATGATTATACCCAATCAAATGACCTATCTTTGTACATATCTTTTTACTTACTTTAATATATTTTCATATTAAAATTACTATGATTTCATTTCATATTAATGATTTCCATCTGTGCCTTTTACTTTTTGAAAATCATTATATTTTATCATCTTTTTAAATTTTTAATGTGATTTATAAAATGTTTTGTATATAATGTTATGATATCAGAAAATAAAAACGTAATTAATTCAAACTGTGTGCAAATGTTTTGTTGATATTTAAGAAATGAAATAGGGTTTAACTTAAATAACTTCCTACTTTTCTGCACAGAAACCATAAAGAAAATGACAATATAAATCGAACAGTCTTAGCTTGCACTGAGGAAAGAAACTAACTGGGGAACCTAGAGAAAATAAGCAAGGTTTGGCAGATGACATCATTTGTGGGATTGCAACTTTGAAACCATGACACCAGTATCAATGACACAACTTGTGATTACCACATTTGTAACTGTAATTTTGAATTTCAAGAGACTTCATCTTCTTGTTTCCGACTATGGTGACAACAATACTCATCCATATTAAATGCAAATGAAATACTCTAAATTCTATTCTATTTACTTACACTGCCTCTACTTCATATAGATCTGACTGTTAAGGGGTCATATAGATAAATTTGACAGAAATTTTGTTTTATTTTCAACCGATCAACAGTAAGTGACTCCAAGATTTCTGTGCACTGCTAGTTCAAAGCTCAACTAAATAGACCATTTCATTGCTAATCCCTCAAACACAAATAAAACAAAATTTGAAAAATAAAAACAAAAACCCAAATAAAATAGGATCTATGTTTTAATCAGAGAGAATGAGAGAGAAATGGGGTTTAACGTCCATTCGACACAAACGCTCGATTCGACAGACCATTTGATTGGCTGACCCCTCATTTCAAGCAGAACACGAGTTAAATAACAAGTCTTCCAGATCAAAATGTAGTAAAGACAAGTAAAAACAAAATTTTGAACTATAAAAAACGAAACGAAATTGGATCTGTGTTTTAATCAGATTGACTCGACACAAACAAGGTCATTTCGGGACTAACACATGGTTCAATTTTATTTCAATAATTCGCTTGCGCTTAAGGGTCTTTAGCAGTGGGAGGAAACTGGAGGACCCGGAGAAAACCCACGAGGTTGGACAGGCGACCCTACTCCTTGTCACATACAAAAGGGGAATTGAGACCACACCAGTTGACTCAATGAGAGACCATTCGGCCATCCAACCCTGCCTGTTTTAATCAGATTGTGATAAACTTTTCAAAGGATATGATACTACAATGTAAAGCAAATAATACATGAAAGCCTCTTTAGTATCTGCTTTCACATTTTGGTATGTTTGAAAGCAATGTATAAAGTGAGCAAGGGTAGATAACTCACTTTATTAAGGATTATCAATTGGTAGCTGCGAGAAGAAAAGCGGGTTTCTATAGATCTAGTTTGAGATTTAAAATTAAATTTGTAATAAATCTGTAATCCCTAATTAGTTATTTTAGGCAAGTTATTTTTCAGGTAATTTGGACACTGTAATGCTGTCAAAATTTTGGTAGTTTCTCTGAAAAAAGTCATGTGTGTCGATCAAAAAGCATACACATGTCATCTGCCATACAAAAGAAAGCTTAGAACTAGATATGAAATCCTCTGTTTATTAATATTCTCGGGGAGAAGCCTAGTTAAATCTAGAAGCATGATATAGAGAGATGCAATATATCTTACCAAGTTGTAATCTGGCTGTAAACATATTATTAGTGTGTAAGAGATGTTGATAAACCAAGCGAAAAAAATAAATTTTGAAACACAAATATCTGATTGTATTAGAAAAAGCTAAGGGCCATATTTGTTGCTCTTACATATACAGTTGTGTCACATTCCCTATGCTAAATTTTGTACAGTGGATCGAAATGTTCTTCAGTTGTAAATCTTATTCTTAATAATATGTGTATCGATAAATACAATTAAAAAGGAAAACACAACTCTATGTGTAAAACCCACCCAATTGTGTTTCTGTGGTAAGACTTTCTCCCATAACCTTATTTTTGGATTTGATCCTTTGTAGATAGAGATCTCTTATAGATCGCCTGATCATGCTGAGAATAGGGCACATATAAACGGCAGCCATACTGTACTTCAGTTCAACTAAAGTTAGTCTTTGATGATTTTAATTTTCTCATGCTTGATGATTGTTTTATATAAACATATTTTAGATTAGATATCTATATTTTAAATATCTATATTTTTTTAGACTTAGGCAGGCCTCCTACTTTAGATAATGCCAAAGCGTAGTATGGCATATGACATTTATGTAAGTACATGTACAGACATATTGATTTGGTTAGTTGAAGATATTTTAGTACCAATACCATCAAATTGATCGAATCAAAGACTGTTAAAGATGGGTTTCCGCGTACAAACTGGGTGATTTAATGGTATTTATGGACTAAAAACATATTCAAATGAATTAATTTGTCATAATTATGCTTCAAATCCTTCTCAAACATTGTAATTGCGAAGGAATGCTCTGCTATTAAAATTTGATCAAACCAGGTCATGTTTACGTCACGTCTTGGAAATCAGAGGAGAATTCATTGCATACATAAGACGATGTTGTCTTTAATCGCTTACTATTTATTACAAATATCAAATCCTAATTAAATTCTCAGGTTATCCACTACCCGCGTCTTTTCCGTCATTTTTATCTCAGAAAGTGTTGTACGTCTAACTCTTCATAAAGTTTATCAACTTGTACATCAAGCGCTCAATGTTCGCGTGTGCAGAAATTCTTAATCGTTGGGCTGTTGATTAGGGGAACCCTTACATTTTTGTCCTGTATACGCTCCATGAGTGTTTTTCGGGGAACCCAGTATTTTTTTAGTAAGATTGGATATCTCTACTTTCCATATATACCAAAATTGCCATACTTTTATTGGAAATAACCACCCGATAAATACTTTTCCGGGAACCCATCTTTAACTACAAGTATTATAACTAATACAGTTTCACATCGTAATATGCTCATAGCACTAAGATAACAAATTAGGCTTTTGATGCAGACAGAGATGTGCAAAACAGTATAATGTTAAAGGTTATTTCATTGATACATAAATACGTTCTAAACAGACAAGTCGAAGATGTAATATGACCACTTGACTATTGGGAAGATGTAACTTCATGTGTCTATTTAGAGCCTCTTCATTAGAGTGTTATAGTCTAATGATATTATATTTAAATTCCTATCTCCTGAACAATAACAAAATAAGAGTTATCTCCCTTACATAAAATCCAATAACTGTATATTATATAGTAATGGTCGATTAATACACATGTATGTATATGTAATTTAACTAAGTTTATACATGTAAAACTTACCTCACTGTAGTGTGCTAATTTAGGACCGGTTGTAGTATGAAGAGGGGAACTATTATTTTTTCTATCGTACAGACATTCTACTAATTCAGCTGAACCAACTATTAAATCTACGGACATAGTCTTATGTCTAGGAGCAACCTTCTGTGTACAATCTACCGTCAATGGTTTACCTAATAACCTAAAAAAATCAAACCCCACAGAATGATTAAAATAAGCATTCTTATAACATATGGGCTAGAATTCAACAATTCTAATTTACGATATGCAGTTTCAGTGTCTTATAATAGAAATGAAATGGAGTTTAACTTCTTACTTTTCCGCACTAATCGGCTAATGTAAATGAGCAATGTCATACAGAGTGATAGCTACAGACTACTTTTATTTCAATTCACAACTGTCAAACGTTTTGCTTTTCATCCAAAGGACTAGACCTGCTATGGTGACAGGGGAAAACCCTGAGGAACTTTCTAGGCCAAACCTTAACTAATCCAGGGACCTCCTTAGTGAACCAGTGACCTTCTCATCAATGTCCACTGACACAAACTAGTTCATTTCAGGACCAACACGTGGTTCATCCTTATTCTAATAATTCGCTTGCAAGTAGGGGTCTTTAGCAGTGGGGGGAAACCAGAGGACCCAGAGATAATCCACGAGGTTGGACAGCCGACCCTACTCCTTGTCATGTACAAATGGGGAATCGAAACCACGCCACTTGACTCAATGACAGACCTTCTGATCCAACGTGTTAAACATTTGGCCATCCAACCCCGCTTGTCTCATAATGCTTTGCACAACCATTGTGAATACTGGTAGCACAATTTTCTAAGGCCACTCTAATTTTAAATTTTGTTCTTTGGGAATACCTACTTAAATTTTGCTTCCTTTTTCTTAGGAGAGAGAGAGAGAAATGGGGTTGAAGTCTACTCGACACAAACTAAGTCATTTCATGACTAACATATGGTTTAATTTTATTTCAATAATTCACTTGCGCATAGGGGTCTTTAGCAGTGGGAGGTAACCAGAGGACCTGGAGAAAGCCCACGAGGTTGTACAGGCGCCCCTACTCCTTGTCACATACAACCGGGGAGGCGAAACCACGCCAGTTGACTCAATGAGTCAATGACAGACCTTATGATACAGCGCGCACACGCTAACCAATCGGCAATCCACCCCCCCTCTTTTTCTTTGGGAACAAATTAATTTAAAAAACAAAAAGTACTTTGTTGCTCTTTTCCAAAGCTTTCAGTTCAAGTTTTGAAAATTAAACAAAAACGAGACTAGAGTGGCAGAAGAACATAAAATTCAGTTGCTCTGGCCTAAGTGTGAAAAGTATGATTTACCAAGCTTATTATTTTCAAATATTAGTAAAAAATGCTTTTTGTTGAAAAGCAGAATTAAAATCTGAAAATTCAAAAATGCCATGACATTCACTAGCAAACACACTTACCCAAGATGATCAAAGGGTAATATTTTTGAAAATTCTTCTCTAAGTACTTTCATTGGTTTATTGACACCGGCAAATGTTATAGCAGCTACTTTAGAGAAGAAATTATCTGAAATTTCCCGTAGTTTATCGTTAGCTGTCACTTCGTGTGCTTCAGAATCTTTTGGTGTCACACTAGGGTTTTCATGTAATACACAAACAGATAAGAACGATATCTTCATTCTATAATGGCTGATTTCAGCTGAGGGATCATCTAATAACTTCTGGAGATTATCTATATCAAATAAACGAATCAATAAATGTACAACAAATAAGCAACCAGTTCTTTCAGAAATGCATTTTTTTTTTCCAGTTATGTTAAGCAAACTCTATGGCAAGTTTATCATTTATA